ATACAGTTAGGGAATAGCTGTAGGAGACATGAACATAGCAGCCTGACCACATGAACCTCGGGAGAAAACTGATTTCTCTGCCACTGACTGAAAAAAGTTACATTTTTCAATAGTCCTCCAGTGGAGACTCAGATTTAGCAGCACAGAGTATAAAAATCACTGGCTGGAGCCTCCTTTTGCAGGAAAAACAGTTTTACACACACACACACACACACACACACACACACACACGGGGGGGCACGGGGGGGGCCGGCGGCAGATGCCTTTGAAACCAGGTTACCATGATTTAAACGCTGAGCAACATTTGACTAAGAAAAATATTTATTTGCAAGAAATGGAAATACAAATGCATTACAATTTCATTTTTTTTCAAACTAAGTACAAGTATACTACAAAGCTTCATTTTATTTATTTATTTATGTTTGGTATCTCATTAGCTATGAGGAAGGATAAGAAGAGCAACAGGTCAGGTGACAGACTTGTAACGTACTTGGGTTTAAGCAATGCTGCTCGCTAAGTGTTTCAAAAGAGAGCAAACGCCAGCTGCCAGTCTAGGCAAGGAAAACTGACTGGAGACTCCATAGCCATCTGGGCTCTGCTCTCCACTGTGTAAGGGAGGGAGGGTCACCCACAGGGTGTCCGAGGGCTGGTGTTTTCCCGAGACTTATAATGTGCTTTACCTGAAAGGGACAGTCTCTAAGTTGTGCGGGTCGTGAGTTCACGAGGGTCCCATTGCCACCTGGCTGTTGAGCAAAAGGCAGAGAAAGGGAAGCCTGAATTCTCGGGTTCCCTTCACGCAGACGCAAAGCCAGGGAGCTGTGCTCCCAAGAGGCTGAGAGAGGTAAAAGTCAGACCCGCACACGGCATTTCAGGGGCAGGGAAGAGCTGAGTGTGGCAAGCGGAGCCACTGCAGTGCGCCCTTTCTGCCCAGGGAGCCACAGTCCATGTCCGGGGACACAAACCACCATGCCTCCCACTGCATTTTCCTCTCACGGCAACGAGCCACCCTTGCTTTCTGTTCCAATCAGGTTCAAAAGCTCCAAGCTTACTTAGCACAATACTCAGTAAATATTCAGGAAACAGTGTCTCCCTCCTTCTAGAAACCAAGACAAAGTTAGGCAGCCCTGAGCTTTATGCTGCCACAAACAACAGTTAATGTTTTTCTCCCTGGCGCACAGCTGCTGACCTCTCTGCCCGGAGGCATGGAGCATTAATCTTCAAATGGGCTAGTGCCTTTGTGTCCAGAAAATGCTCTGTGGTGAGGATTTAGAATACCTTTAATCCTGGCTGGCCATGTTTTTGATGTGATTGCACCTCTATCTACAAAGTGGGATTTTCCTGATGTGTATAACCCCACCTTTTTTTTGTTTGTTTCTTCAAGACTTGTTTTATTTTTAATTATGAGGGGTATACAAACATGCTCACAGACACATGTAAAGGCCAGAACCATCAGATGCCCTGGAACTAGAGTTGTAGAGGGGTTGAGAGCCACATGGGTACTGGGACTTGAACTCTAGTCCTCTGTAGGAGCGCTACAAGACCCGGTACAGCCCCAGCACAGTAGCTCTTAGTGGTTAGCAGCAGGGTAGACTCTGATTTCATATCCGTGTCACTGTAGCTCTATTACAATAAAATATATTATGCCAGCTGAGTGCGGTAGCCCACGCCTTCAATGCCAGCACTTGGGAGACAGAGACAGGTGGATGTCTTTGAGGTTAATCTCTTGGAAGCCAGCCTGGTCTATATATTGAGCTCCAGGTCAGTCACAGCTACATAGTAAGACCCATACATGTCTCCCAAAAGCAAACAAACAAAAAGTGCTAGTCATCTTACTCTTTTGGGGGGGAGGGAGCGTTGTTTGGTTTTTGTTGTTTTATATAGCCCTAGCTGACCTAGAACTCACTCTGTAGACCAGCCTGGCCTCAAACTTAGAGAGATCCACCTGCCTCTGCCTACCGAGTACGGGGATTGAAGGTGTGTGCTACCTCACCTTAGTTCCATTTCTTTCCCCGATAGGCAAATCTAATAGTGGCCATCTCCGAGTCTCAGGAGAAAGGGCCCGTCCCCCAACTTCAATCTAATACTATATAGTAATATGTGACACTTCACAGGGACAGGAGATTCCTGCTGTCCTGGGTTCAGATACAAGGCACATGGGAGGCAGAAGTACCTAGGACAGGAGGTGTGTGTATTGCGGGTGGGGGAGGTGCGACTAGCATTAGTCAGTACTTGAGTCTTCCCAATGGCTACTGACAAACTAGGTTTCCAAGCCCCTCTTCTTATTCTCCAACATTTTCTAGGTCTTAGGAAGCCTGCTCTTCCTTAGGAAAACTGCAAAGCTTAAGGAATAAACAAATGAATGCATGCATGCATGCATGAATGCATGAACCAATGAGCTGAAATCTGAGTCTAGCTCCTTCAGCCCCTATCTTACTGTTCTCTCCACTCCTGCCTGGGGGGGGGTAATAATCCTGTGCTAACTGCTTGTGCTGGGACCCCACTGTTGATGGCTCCACAGGTCCCAACAGGCTGCAGGCAGAGTGCAGAGCTCATCCAGGTCTCTCAAACACTTGGCTTCGCAGAAACAAATTAGCCACTAAAAGCCTCTTCTCCCATTTCCACACCTCCACGTTGGCAAGGACCAGGCAGATGTCCACTCCTCAGGGGGGGACAAGATGTCTCCATTTCTCTGCTGGGCTCACACACACACACCTCACCAGGCACATTATGTCCACAGGAGCTGGCTCAGACACACTTCTAATTCTGTTTTGCTGCTTTTTCTGGGTCTGGGCACATGGGATGGAGGGGACAGGAAGGGCTGGAAAGAATTTTAACAAAACACCGGTGGTAAAAATGATGGAGGTGGACTCTATCCCAGCATAAAGAGGGATTGGTCCAGTATTCCTGCTGCGTGTGGACATAAGATTCGTAGCTGCTACGGGGCACTCAAGTTCAACTGATGCTTGAGAGGGGTAACTGGTAACCTGGTATGCACAGTTGCTAAATAACGTGTCCCTAAGGCTGTTTCCCCAATCCACAAAATCATCCCTATGGACCGAAAGGTTACTTAACTTTGCCTGCACTGATGTCAGATCCCACACGCACCTTCTGCCAGGAAGAAGCAACTGAGATCAGCTGTCAGACTTTTATAGAACGCCCTCTTTCTGGGAGCTACACTCCAGGGTCCTGACACTTCTGAGGCTCTCCCTCAATACTGGTGCTGATTCCTCTCATTTACAAGATCCATTTCCCAATGTGAAGTTGGAGCTGTGAAAAGACCCGAGGGAAGAGGAAACTGGGTTCCTCGGGCCTCGTCTACAGAAAAACAAAATGGCTTATTCTCTAAATCTCTGCAAGATGCCTCCATCACTAAAGTGATCATAAAGTATGTGTGTTGGGGGGCTTTTTATAGGATAGAAAATACAACTAGGAAAGTAATGGGTCTGCCTGGGTTCTCCAACAGTCTAGCAGTCTAGGGTATTTTCAAAATTTCAAATCAAGGTGTTTAAAGTCTGCCACTATTCAAAACCTTCAGAGACATCCATAAGTTATTGACTGGTCTGCAGTACAGCTCAGCTGGAGGGAAAAAACTGATACTCTGGCCTTAAACTTAGAACAGAAAGTGTGCACATATCATTAATTACTTGAAACCCATTCTGTCTTATGCCACCCTGGGTCCCTTGACTGCGGAGTATCCCAGAGGGACCATTGCTTAGCCCCTTTCACTCGCCAAGCCAGGAGCAGAGAGCAGAGGTTTTGCTCAACAGAGTGGCAGGGTTGGCTGCTGAGAGCTCCTTTAAAGGGCTGTTTGAGCTCTCTGGCTAATGTCCCACGTCTCTAGTTACAGATTCTATTCTGGAAGGCCAATTTCCCCACAGACAAAGGGCCCTGCTGTCTGGAGACAGTGACATCCGAAAGAGTAGGCAGAGGAGAAAGCGAAGCCTCAGAGAACTAGACATGACTAGACAGTCCCTCCCTTCTCCCTCTGCATCCTCAGAGGGGGTTAGTTCCACCTGGCTCTCCAGGCTCATCGGAAAACCAAGGTTCTGGCCACAGATGTACACATCAGCCTAAAACCCCACTTCCGCCTTCACTGCAAACTCTCCCTTCCTCATCACACACATACTAACTCATTCTGGGCCCCCCGCCCCCCACCCCTTCTTAGGCTCTCACAGGCATTCTTTATGCTTACAATGCATAAGCATCTGGCACTACAAAGGAGCAAGTCACCAGCCACTCTCCTTTCTGTACAGTCCAGGCATCTGAGCGTAAGGGACAGTGACAGTCCTGTGTGCAACAGGGCTGCCAGGGTGCAGTGGTCCTGAGCTGGGTCTCATATGCTACAAGGTGAACTTGGCCATTTGCCAGCTGGGAACCCACCATGGGAGGGAGGGAGGGAGGGAGGGAGGGAGGGAGGGAGGGAGGGAGGGAGGAGCACTCCCTATGATGACCAGAGCAGACTGAATAGAAAGCTGTTCATGGAGCATGACAGCAAACACTAATAACACCAAATCCTGTGACACAGAATGCAAGGGCCAGTGTGCTCATAATCCCTCTTCACGGGCTCTAATGGCCACGTAAATGATAGAGGGGAAATGAGAGAGAGAGAGAGTGGGAGATAGAGCGGGCGAGAGAGAGAGAGAGAGAGAGAGAGAGAGAGAGAGAGAGAGAGAGAGAGAGAGAGAGAGAGAGAGAGAGGGCCAGTGTGCTCATAATCCCTCTTCACGGGCTCTAATGGCCACGTAAATGATAGAGGGGAAATGAGAGAGAGAGAGAGTGGGAGATAGAGCGGGCGAGAGAGAGAGAGACAGAGAGACAGAGAGAGACAGAGAGAGAGAGACAGAGAGAGAGAGAGAGACAGAGAGAGAGAGAGAGTCAGAGAGAGAGAGAGAGAGAGAGAGAGACAGAGAGAGAGAGAGAGAGAGAGTGTGTGAGAGAGAGAGGCCAAAACTAAAGGTCCTTCAGCCATTGCTAAAAATAAAATACAAAGTGTAAGCACATTTCTTACATAAAAATTTTTTTACAAGCTGGGGGTGGGGGAACACTTAAAAAGAATCTTCTATCTTATACAATAAAAGAGTAATTTCCATTTCTTATTCGTATGAAAGAGAGAAAAGGTTTTTTTTTAACTACAGATTTTACTTTTTAATCATAAAAAAAGGAAAGGAGTTTGGGGGTTCATTGACTCTTTGGATGAGCTGCAAGGTAGCCAAACCTGACAGTAAAAGGTATGACTGAGGGTGTATAAATGTCACCAACACCAGTCCCCCTCCCTTCCCTCAGTGGAGGCAGGTGGAGAGAGGGCAGAGGGAGGGAAGCAGGTGGGGGAGGCAGGCAGGCAGGATGCAGGACAAGCTAGCAAGGTTGTCAGCCATGCCTATTGTCAGGGGCAGGACTTCCCTTCTCTGTGGCAGGAACAGAGAGAGAGAGAGAGAGAGAGACATCATAGAGCCTGCAGCCTGAACAAGAAGACAGGGCTCCATCATTCCCCGTGAATTCATCCACCAGGGGGCACATGCTAAACAGGATTGCCCAGCAGTGATTATTTTATAGGTCTCCAATTTGAAAATGAAAGGAAAGGGAGAAAATGAGGCATCGACTAGAAAGACTGGGGGTTCCAGATCCTGGGGACTCTCCTGTTCCAAAGACCAGCAGAAGACTCTGCTTGTTAGAAGGGGTCACGGAATTTTTCTACTACGGTCGGCGGGGGAGCTTCAGCAAGCTAATAAATACTATTTACAAATAGGGTGGGGACACCAGGGAGACAGAGCTACTGTCTGTAGAGACGCAGGCTGTGTGTATGGTGTGGGGGTATTCTACAAGCAACACGGTGGGCAGGGAGGCATGGAGGAGAGCCTGATGCCTTCAGGAATTGCACTTGCGGCCTGAAGATGTGGTGGGAGTCCTTTCTGCCTGTGCGGGCATCCAATAAGGGCTCCAGGGTGCAGAACAGACAGAGAAGACTGGAATGACACTTTGGTACTCTCAGTGGGGGGCAGGGTCGCACTGGAGTCCTACTGAGCAAGGGAGGCCAGGAGTCATGCTTTCGCCACTCCCTGGCATCCTGTTTGTGGCGTACTTGTGGCTATAGCCTGGGGTCTCAACTGAACGTGGGAGTCGTGTCTTCTTTGAAAGGGTCACGTCTCACAGGGAAGAGTCATGCGTTATCTTCATGACACTAGCGGAAACAAGCCTGCTCGTCCCACCTCTACCTCACCCCTAAGATAATTTCCTATGGCAGTAAGAGAAAGGGATGGAGAGCCATGGGGACATACGAGCAGAAAGCCCCAGACTGGCCTCCCATCTCAAGACACCGCACTAGTCCACATCCTCCTCAAGATCCAGGGGTGAAGGAGAAGCTTATGGGTGAGACAGTTTGGGGACGCACAGCTGGAGTTAGGAGAAGAGGAAGATGGAGATGGTGCCTTAGAAGGTGGCGTTCACTCTCCTCTCAAGTTCTACAACTTGGAGCGTCTCGTTGCCTTCCAGTTTGCCGCTGCCCCTGTGAAGGCATCAAAGGGAGAAAGAAGTATTAGCCGCTAGGTTTTGCTAAAATTCTCAGACTCTGTATCATGAGTCAGTTATAGCTTTGTGGGCTGACCCTGGCAGAGTCTGTCAAACCCCCAGTGTTATTCTTTGCTCCCCAGATCTCCCACTAGTCATTGCTCACCTCCACATTCCCGACTTTCTCTGGGCCCAGTGGAGACCCATGCTAGTTTGATGCTGACTTACTTTAAATTGCTTTCAGTAACTGTTCTCTGTTTATTATTATTAATGGCCTTGATGCTGTAAGTTACGGGAAGGAGAATGCAGAAGGATAGGGGCTGACATCTGTTCTAGAATTAAGAATCCAGACAAGGATTTTTTTTTAAGGAATCAACTTAAAACAACACAAAATGCATACTGTAAAAGAGATACACGATCGAAGTCTCCCAGAATTATGATGGGAGTTATCACAGTAAACTCAGAGATCTGAATGGGGCTTCCAAACACAGATCTAGGAGAGCAGAGTGTGCTAAAGGCCGTGTTATCCAACAGCTCACTCTCCAGGGCTTCCAGGACTGGCTCCAGGATAAAATTAAGGTTGTACATCTTGGGACACTTAAAAGGTTTGTTATAATAATGCATTTGGCAGTTGTTAGTACTAGTAAGTGTTAAACACATGCGTGCCGTGTACACATGTAAAAGTACACATGATTATGAACTCTGGTGCGTGGAGGCACCCTGGAGCAGCCCTCTTTCTGAGCCATCTAGGGGCACAGATTAGCTAATTCATCAGTTTCACCACACATCACGCAGAGGGTACACGCATGCTTCCTATGCTGATGAGCACCCCAAAGTGCCCCCCTACAACAACAGTACCATAAGATCCCATCAGCCATTATGTTCTCAAAAGGACCCCCACCCCCAGTTATGTGGGAGGAGCAATGTGTGCAGAGTTGGAGCCATATATGGATGACTTTCAACGTGGGAAAGAAATACACTGTGTTTCGTCACCACTGTCCCTCAATGCAAATACACGAATGTTTACAGGCTGAACATCCCTAGTTCCCAAACTGCCCTAAGATTACCTAACACAGATAAATTACATGTTTAGACTGGGGTCTCATGCCCAGGATACCTCATTATGTAGATGCGAATATCCCAACACCTAGAAACTATTCCAAACACCTTGTGGTCCCAAGCATTTCACACAAAAGGCACTTCATCTGCAGCTACAGCTGATTCCTGTGCACTGACATGTAAATCATTAATTATATTGATACCCAGCACAACATTCTTTCTCCCTCTAGTTAGAATGAACTGTAGAATTGGATTGAAGGTGCATTTGCAGAACAAGCTCTCTGACGTCACCAGATGCTTTTTTTTTTTCGCTTTGGAGACAGGATCTCATGTAGCCCAGGCTGACTAACCGAGAACTCGCTATGAAGCTGAGGCTGGCCTTGAATTACAGACTTTCCCGGATGCTAGGATTAAAGGTATGAGCTACCACATCTCCTGTCACACTGAGATAGTGACTGAGAAAACTGACATCCCCTCTTGCTCAATCGGGCTGTCGCTGCCAGCTCTGGGCTGATGGTGTGGACACTGGATTAGCTCAGTGAGACCTTTGCCCTGCTAACAGCTGTCCGCAGACTCTCCCCAGTGCCAGTGCCAGGGCTTTGAATGGGTCCCCAGAGCTCTGGGAGAGTGCATGCCCCCCCCCCGCCAGGGCTGCCTCACACGCCATAGTCAGCCCCGAGGCCTGCACCTATAGGACTCACAGGTGCTGCTGAAGCTCCAACAGCACTGACTTCTCCAAGCTGGTCTCGTTGGAGATGATGAAGTGGGGAAGTTCCACCTCAGGCAGGGCCTCCAGCCTCGATGCCCTGAGCAGGGAGGGACCTCTGTCCCAGCCCCCAAGCTCTCCAGCTGAGGCTGGACCCGATGGCTCCTCCAGGGGAGAATGCTCCTCATAGATTAGCAGGTTCCTGGACCTCACTGCAGAAAGAAGAGAGCAACGGATGTTAGCAAGATAACATAGGATGCCCACACATGCCCTTTTCTCCTAAAGCCCCAGGCCAGTAGCTGATGACAACATGCTCCCGTCCTCTGGGATGGTGAGTGCCAGCTGGGCTGGGCTTTCTGTATTGACTTCAGGTTTCAGAGTTTAGACATCAAAAGTTACATCAATTACATAGGTTGGAAGAACAACATGCAAAGTCAATATCCCCACTCACTGCCTTTAGTAAAATGCCTCTCATCCCTTCCCATAACAGTCTTGGGGAAACCAGCTCATGAAAAATGTGGGTTAAACACTTGGAGTTGTCAAAGCCCAGCTGAATGAGGAGGCATTCCCGGGAAGCAGAGAGAGCCCAAAGCCAACCCCCAAAGTCAGAGGGAGGCAATCTCTGTTGCATTATGGGACAGTTACAGAGCTAGATGACTCTAGTCATTTCCTGGGCATAGAGATTGTGTGTCCATTAGCTTCTGAAATTTAGAGCTATTTCCCTCAGAAAAGAAACTTCCCTACAAGCCACTGAAAGCATCATAATGGAATGACATTGTATCATGTATCTGGCCTGGATATACTAACTACTGAAATCCGCAGGCATTTTTAGGATGGTAAAATTGTCCCTTCCTCCAATCCTGCATCTCCTAACACTGAGTGTATTGTTACTAACACAGCTGTGCCACTTTGGGTATATTCCTTCTTTGTCCTCCCTCTATTTTCTAAATACTCAAAAGACATCATAGGCTAAGGGGAGAACTGTATATGAGGCTGATGTGAACACCAGAGCCTCCGACTTCTCTAAGTTTTGGGCATGAGACAGACCAATTCTCTAATTTTGCTGCAAACTCTTACTGCCATAATGTAGAATTCTACTTCAAGTCAGAGACACAAGAGCGATCATGAGATTTCAGAAAAACTAAATATCCTCCTTACTCTCCAGTCTTCCAAGAGCCAAATCCCCCATATCAGACCTCAAAGTGGGGGTGGGGTGGGGTGGGGGAGTTATCAGAGCTTTTCTGGTGCCACACAAGGGAGTCTAGTGCCTACTCCCAGAACACCCCACCTGCAAATGGAGTCGCTCCACTTTTACACATCGGGATTCAGGATGAGATTCCTTTCAGAAAGCTGGGAAAGTCAACTTCAGGCAAACAAAACAAGCTAATGACTCACCCACGGAGGCTGTGTATGGCTCCGACAGGCGATGCTGGCTGGGCAGGGCCATCTTGGTGGCAGAAGGATAGGGCCCATAGCCTTGAAAGAAGCTGCCGAATGCAACGGCAAAGCAGAGTACAACGACCTGGGAGTGAGGAGAGAGCATGGGGACTAGACTGCGGGGAGCAGACCTTCAGGGACAAGCCACCTGGAAGCACTGGGAGAAGGAAGACCCCCGCTCCGTCAGGGGACAGCTTATACCCCAGTCACGTCCCTGTGATGACCCCCAGAGGAGAAGCCTTGGGACAAGATGCTTGGTCTCTCTGGCTTCATTCACTCTTGGCATTTTCAAGGTAGGGGCATCTGGAAACTGGGAAAACTCACCATGAGGCAGGTGCCAGTCTGGGTGCCGGCTAGCTTGCAGCTTCGAGAGACCTTGCCCATCACCAGAGCCTGAAGCTTCTGAAGCTGCTGAAGCAGTGTCCTGCCAAGGTGACAAAGGAAAGCCAGGAAGGGGCGTGTGAGACAGCAATGCTCCTGTGAAGTCCTGGTGGCTCTGCATCTGAGCAGGGTCCAGAGGGGCGGAGGACCGCACCTGGGGCACCGTAGCGCGGCAGAGCTCTCTGGAGCTTCAGACTCAGCCTGGGTGACAGTGCTACAGCCTGCCCCATTCTTTAGCTGCTCTGGAGAAGAGAAGAGTCCCCAAACAACCCTGACAGGCAGGCGCCCGTCTGTCAGCTAATGAACAAAGAAGAGGGGCACACTCGTGGATGGTCACCAGACTTTAATGTTTCTGTGTCCCCTCTCTCCCAGTCCATATGTTTAAAGTGAACCTGCAATACGATGGTAATACAGAGAGTGCATGGGTGTGGGGGGGGGGGGTGACCAGACCTTGACAGTGAAGTCTTCATAACAAGATTAGTACCCATATAAGGGGCTGAAAGCAGACATCATCACTTCTACTACACGACAACACAGCAAGGGGCTACCTTGTCTCTAGGCACCATAAGGCAGCCCTCACCAGACACCAAATCTGCCAGCACCTTGATCTTGGCTGCCTCAGCCTCCAAAACAGTAAGAAATCAATTTCTGTTGTTGCTAAGTCACTCCATTTATGGTATTGTGTTACAGCACAGTTTGGACAGCCTAGGGCAGCGGTGGTTGCAAGAGACTCGTTAGAGGGGAGAAATGCTGATCCATAAAAGCGAAGCCATGAGAAGGAAAAACAAACAAAGACCAGCAGAGAACAACTGAAGGAGTGGCCGGAGGTGGTGACTGTGACTGGAAATGGCCGGGGCATCTCTGAGTAAGGGGTGTATACAGAGCACACTGCAAGTAAAGGGAGGAAGGAGAGAGAGAGAGACAGGGAAAGGGGGGAGGGACTTTTCTATTCCCCAAATAGGACAACTGTGACGGTTGAGAGAAGACTACAGTAGTATATGCTCTTTATAATATCAAGATGTAGTCGGTGAACTTCGCTGTAAATCCTAAGCCAAGAATGGCAGGATGGAGCCGGGCTTTGGCAGCAAACCCTCCTGGATTAGTGTCTCGCAGGAATTCAGTGTGACTAGCTTGAAGCACCTCACCTTATCTCCTCCACTCAAAGCCAGCGTACATGATAAAACGGAAAGGTGTTATGAGAAAATACAGTCTCCTGAGTGTCAAACGATTTTCAGAAAAATGCACACCAGGATGCCATGTGTCAGAGCCGAGCAAGAATTCTGGAATTTCCTTGAGGGTTTGCTTCCCGTCAGAGCTATCCCTCCAAATGGCTTTCAAATGCTGGAAACACTCGTAAGCTTTTGCAACCCTGCCCTGGCCAGTATCACGGGCTCGAGTCCTCTCAGTTTAAGCAAATCAAGGGCAGGCTGGCTTTAAGCACAGCTTTCCCTTCTGCAGCTTAAGTAGCGGTGGGATTGGTAGGTCAATTGGAACAGTCCTCGGTACACACCACAGAAACTTTCTGAACTCAAAAGATCCCCCTTTGGCCCCATCTCCTCTGGGTTCTTGCTCTGCGGAATAATCTCATTGAATTGTGAAATGGTATTTCCTACAGAAGGCTACTGGACCTAACCATACTTTCCTTTTGGCTACATAAGAGCATGGCCAGATGTGGTTAGACACGACCTGTAAATAGTTATCAAAGCAGGATATGCTTTAAAAGCACACTGCATGTTGTTCAAGGCTGAGACACACCGATAGAATATCTATTTTAAATTCTACTTTAAAAGTTCATAACCAAGAGTTCCTGTGCTGTAGAACCTTTCTTCTGTCACTAAATGTTTTCTTTCTTTCTTTCTTTCTTTCTTTCTTTCTTTCTTTCTTTCTTTCTCTCAGGGAATTTCTCAATAACTTTAGTTTATTCCCTCCCAAAAGACCAACCCCAAGGTGAGTTTCTTTTATTGTGATTTTATTGTCTTCATAACAAGATCAGCTTAGAACTGGATCACTTGGCCCTTTCTCTTCTTATCGCCTCCCAGTTCAAAATGCTTGCATCTCTTAATGGCCAGCATCCTCTTAGATCTGCAGTTGGGCTCAACAGGCTCAAGCCTCAGCACAATCTTCTTTGTAATTTTAGTCTTTGTTCGGAAAATAGGCTTCGTCTGCCCACCACAGTCACTCTGTTGCCTGTCATGGCGCCGCTTTCCCTGGGCACACATAGAGTCCTTGTCCTTCTTGTATATCGGCACAGAAAGCATTAAACGTATTCTTTCTTCTACCAAAACTTCCTCAGAACACACCTCTGCACTGCCCAACAGCACAAAGCCCCACCACAGCATCAAATTCTGAGTGATGTGGCCACTGGCTGAGTAGAGCCCCTTCTGCAGACTTGAGATTCTGCAAGCCATAGCATTGGGGGAGACATTGTCATCCGCAATGCCAGCCCCTGCCCCTTGCTAGGCTCTCCCTGAAGTCCTGGGGGCATATATTCAAGCAAGGTGTCAATTCCAAAGGCTTGGCTGCCTGCTATACTACAGCAGGGGGCCTCCCTGCTTCTGGTGCCAGCTGACTCTTTCTCTGGGTGCGCCAACTCTGTCTTAAGCACTCTTGAGCTAGAATGCAAACTCAGTCGTACTCTGCCCAGGGGTAGGTATCCTCTGGCCACCCAATCTTCAGCTAGACAGACCCTTCCCAAGTTGTACCAATGCCATCTACTTTGCTCCAGTGTCCTCTGGTGTTTTAGAAGCAAAACTGTCCAGGCTATTTTTTGTCCACAGTCCCTGCTTACCATCAAACATTCCACACTTCCTCTCCACCCACGCCATGGTCCTTGCCTAGCTTCCATATTATTATTTATCTATTTTATTAACTGATTAATTAATTTCTTCCCAGTCTGATCACATTCTCCCTCCCCTCTCCCCAGTCCCTCCCCTCAACTTTCCCCTTCCCCCCCAATCCACGCCCCCTCCCCTCTCCCCAGGAGAGTGCGGTCTTCCCTTGTATGTCAGCCAGCCATGGCACACCAAGCCACAGCAAGACTAGGCACCTCCCTAGTGCCTAGACAAATATTCTCCCAGAAGACACCAGGTCTCCCCCTGAGAAGGGAATTCTGGCAAGGCAGATACACCTACAGATCCTTGATAAGATAAATGCCACAGGTCCCAAGCCAAACCTCTATCCAATGCACCCAGTTATAGAAGCAAGCTTGGGGAAGTCACTGAAGCCTGGCTGGAGGAAGCCGGGAAGGCTGAGCTCCCTGACTGGAGGGGCTCCACCTGGCATCCGTCGGCTTAGGCTTTCCACGCCCAAAGACGATCACACACTGAGTCAGCTGAAATGACAACAGTCACTTAGTGGGTCCTGATCCCTAACGGTTTATAATCCACAGCTTTAAGATGAGCAAGCATGATGCAGTCTCAAATACAAACTTTTAGTTTGGCACTCTGGCAGGATGCAACAGTTTGAGGACGTGCTGTTTGCTGCTGCTTTTCCTGCTGGGGTTGGTGAAGGTGAAGTGAAATGGTGATGCGTGTGTGTGTGTGTGTGTGTGTGTGTGTGTGTGTGTGTGTGTGTGTGCGCGTGCGCGCGCGCGCATGTGCAGCACTCCAGAGGCCCTGCCAGTCTGTAGCCCTGAAGCATCCTGACAGGGAGAAACAGAATAACTCCTCTATCTCAAGCATTCACATAGGCTCCTGTGAGCCAATACAGTCTGGGGGAACTCATGTCTAATCCTACAAGATCCACCGTTTTCACTCTAAGAAAATGAAGAGCAAGTGAGTTCTAGGAATAATGAGTAGTTGCCTGAGAAGGCCATAACCAGTGAGCAGTTTGCATACCTTCCAATATATACAACAAAGTCCTGTACACAACACCTAATAAAATTCACAGTAAAATACTCCTTAATTACATTCTCTTAATGTCCAGTCACATTAACTTGATAGTCATGTGACTGGAGTATTGTGTGCATGGCTAGACATGAAATGTCACTATTACAAATGACCACAGAAGGGAGAGTTGTAACAAGACCCAGGCAAAAGTAGAGGGCTATGGTAACAGCCAGTCCAATGGCTCTGAGGTGATCCCCAGCTAACATTCAGTAATAGTGACACAAATGTGTGGAGTACATGTTTATATGTGTGTATACATGCAGGTGATTATGTGCTCATTTGTACCTTTATGTACACCTGTATGCATATATGTGTATGATGTTTGTGTACATGTGTATATATGTGTATGTGGATACATGTAAATACAGGTATATATGTGTGAATATTGTGTATGTGCATGTGTATATGTATATATGTGTGTGTGTATGTACATGTGTACCTGTGTATATGCATATGTGTGTACACATAAGCACATGTATACCTGTGTGAATACATGTGTGTATATGTGCATGTGTGTCTGTGTGGATACATGTGTGCATATGTATGCACCTGTGTATATATGTGTATACCTAAATATGAGTAAGTATGTGTATGTATATTTATGCATGTGAATATGTGTACCTATGTGTACATATAAATGTATATGTGAGTATATGTATTGTGTATGGTATATGCCTATGTTATATGTGTGTATAAGTGTGGATATTTGCATGTGTGTATATATGTATATCTGTGAATATATATGTACATGTGTATCTGCATATGTGTATATATGTGTGTGTATGTGTTTATATGTACATGTATATGCATATATGTGTGCATGTCTATTCATGTGTGATGGGGGAAGTCCTTCTGTGTATATGTCAATAAAGCACTGTTGGCCAATAGGGAAGCAAGATAGGTGGGACTAGGAGTCCAGGAGGACTCTGGGAAATGTAGTGAAGTGAGTCATTGCCATGTGATCACGGGAAGAGGATGCATGAGGCTGCGTCCTTGGAAAGATAAGTCCTTATAAAAATATATGGGTTAATACTTAAGTCAGAGCTAGCCAACTAGAAACCATAGCAAACGGCCAACAGCTTCATAATTAATACAGTGTCCTGTATGTTATTTGGGGACCCATGTGGGATCCCGTAACACATGTGTGTGTGTGTGT